AGCAGGGCTTATGTGATGTGAGTTTGGGTTATAGGATTGTGATTGGGAAGGGGTAGCTTCCAGGTGTCTCTCTGGAAGAGGGGAGACCAGACCGGGAGAGGAATCCAGGTGCCCACTATGGGTATGCCAGGTGCGGCGCTTGGGAGGTAATATTGGAAGCAGAGGATACAGGAATTACTTAAATGTTGGAGGTACCAGAAGGACCCTACAGTGAATGGGTCCATGAACAAGGCAGAAGAGGCAGGTCTGCGGTCTAAAATGCCACGGGGTCAGGTGTTAGGAGCAGAGCCCTTGGAAAAGAGAGGTTTTGCCAGGGGAGAGGATCTGGATTACGGGTTAATTTGGGGGCTGGAAGGTCATACTACTGGTGATTCACATGGTGTCCTCTCTGAGGAGGTGAGGTGAGACTTGTTGGGAGCAGGACTCTGGCTTGGTAAGCTAGATCTATGAGGCAAAAGATCCTTGTGGGAGGTGGGGGTCTAAGACTGAAGTCTAAGAACACTAGTGGCCAGTTGAAGAGCCTCAAGGAGGGGAGGTCTGGGGTCCTATAACATTGAGGGAAGTTACTGGGGTTGGACTGAACTCCTGAGTGTCCAAGAGAGCAGAATTACCCAACGTCATAGGCTCTGAGGTCATGGGTCTGGTGTGGACTGATGGATTAGGAAACTGGGGGTGAGTCTCTGGCAGTAGGGCTATGTCTCAAGAGAACTGGGACCCTGAAGGGAGGCAGAGAGGGTCTGAGATAGGCAAGACAGAGCAAGGGTCCCTTCCATTTAACCAATTTCCCTTTCTCTTTCTCCTTCCATCCTGAGGAGAACACCACCCTCCCACAGAGATATGATGCTGAAGGACATCGTGGAACTCTACAAGGCCGAGAACATGAGGAAAGAGGACATATAGGAAGGTAAGGAACACCCCCGTTGGCATTTGTCAGCTCTCCGGTTAGGATCTGGATCAGGTAGGGTCATTTAGAGTCCACACCCATTTCCATTTAAGATGAGGAAACTGACGGCCAGAGAAGGGGGTGGCTGTGAGGTAGAGCAGAACACCTGAACAGCTGCAGCCCTTTTACTCCCCCGCACTCACCGTAGTCCTGCTGGCAGTACCTCCGAAGGCTCATGTATACCCTGGGGTCCGTGATATTGCAGTAGTTTTGACATCGAGGGTCTGGGGAGGGTCAGGCTGTCTGCAGTGGGCTCCTGAGGCCTAGACTACAGCATTCTGCCCCCTGCCCATCCCGCATTCCAACCTGATGGACAGCTGGGGTGCCCGAACCCTTCGGACGCCTCAGTGGCCACCCCTGTATCCCCACCTAGGGGCCACATCAGCCCCTCCCAGATCCCTCTTGCTGCCAGAGAATTTCACACCAGCCTATCTTACCAGAGCTGTAAGCATCAGGGGTTGTAGCAATGGTGGTGGTTGCCTCGGGAATTCCTGGGAGAGAGCAGAGGAGAGATTTAGCTTTTTGGTATCCTCTCCTTCGACAGCTCCCCTGAGGAATCCAGGCATCCAGACCCGAAATGGGTACTCGCTGGGTGCCCAAGAATGTAAGCACAGTTTGTCCTCTCTAGAACCTAGACCCAGGAGTCCAGGTTCCCAACCGCCTCCTCCCTGAGACCCAGGAGTCCAGCCTCTTCCTCCCCCAGACTGAGGAGAC